GGGGAGTGATCACAGTGTACGGGAAATAAAATCATCTTTTCACAAATCACAGTAAATAAAACCCTATGCATATCTAACTGGAAATGCAAGAAATACTAGCACGTGTCAGTGAGCGTAAAAAATCTGTCACATTCAGGACAAAAAATAAAAAGCCGTATGCATTCACAAGTTTCAGGAATGGAATTTTTCATGAATCACACCAATTAATATGAGCATTTCACATATCACATTTCAGTAAAGTAAAAAGAGACTTTCGTGGGTAACAAAAGTCCCCATTGGTTACCCTCACAAGTGTCTCTACTATAATGCTATTTATTTAAAAAAAAAAAAATTTGCCTAATACTTATGTTTTCACAAGAAACATGAAGGACACTAATTATAATAAGAGCAGAATTAGGAGTTCATTTCAGGGGTGAACATTAGAAATAAGTAAGTAAATTTTAAAGCTGATACATTGGAATAGCAGCGACACTACTCAAAATCATCACGTAACTAAATTAAAAATAGAAACTTCTAAAACTTAATAATTGCATGTATGAGTTTGGGGGCACACGGCATAAGTACTGATTGAATGTTTTAAGAAGTGAGCAGCCTATAACCACGTACATAACTGGAAAACATATAATTCCTCTAAAGTATGCCAATCATTATTATTATTATTGACACCATGTGAATGAATTTTACAGTATGCACAGATTCTGAGGACATGCTTTATTTGAAATGTATAGCAAAGTTTTTTTTTGTTTTTTTTTTAATCTATAATTGGATATACTCTATATGATGATTTCAAGTAAGTTGATAGAAGATAGAAATGTGCAATGGCATAAGAATTGAATAAAATATTTCAGCCTGCATATCAAAATCTTCGCCAACGAGTGGACAACTATGTTACAAACTTTCTTTCAAAGCAGAAGTGGAGCCCAGATTTAAACAAAAACCAACTGAGAGAACAACTGAGAAGGCAAATAAACCAGTAAGAATTGTGTATAGTTACCTTTGAGTTAAGAGTTTGATATTAAAAAGGAAATATTGTAATACATAAATTGTGTTTAAATAAATTCTAAACTGTCAATATTTTTCCTATACTGAAGCAAGTGTTATACAATTCAAACTTTCAAAAAAAAAAAAAAACTTCATGTTTTTCTTTGCAAGTCATTTTGGATGTTACATCATTTTGTTCTACTTAGGTCTGGCATGCTAGCTAGTGGAGTTGAAAGGATTATAGAACAGGTAGTTAATCCAAAGATTGAGACAGTGTTCAAGCCAGAAGTGGATAAAGTGGTCTGTGAGTTCCTAGGAATTGATCCCAGTGAAAGAAGAAAAAAGTTGGAGGAAGTGAAGAATGCTCAGAGACAACAGAGTTTGGAAAACCTAAAAAATTACTGCACAAATATGCAGAACATGCCTCCAGGTTAAGATACATTTTGATATCTTGAGTTAATATTTCAGCATTCTATGTTGAAAATGTTCTTTAACAAATCAGTGAGGATATTGCAATATAAATATTTTTTATTTATTTTTCAATTTTGATTGATTGATTAATTAATTTGATAAGTAGTATCCCTCTTTTTCTAAAAATATTTTGACAGGTCTGCTTTTTTAAAGTTCACATGTCCTGATAATATGCAAATCTTATAATTTGTTTGTTTGTTTGTTTAAAAGGATTTTTAAAAATATTTTCCTTGTATTCTTTAGATCTGCAAAGTCCTGGAGGCAGTTTTTCTGGAAACCAGCCACCAAATCTAATGAACATGGATCCATTTGGTGCTCAGAATATGTCTTTCTCCCCACCAAACTTCCCATCAGGGAGTTCCCAGTTTCTTCCCTTTCAAAGCACCATGCAACCTCCATTTCTACCAGGCCCAGCTGTTCAGCCTGTTGCCCAGCCTCCCCTGCCACCAGCTCCGGTGCCTGAAAGCTCTGCACCTCCCCCACTGCCCAGTGAATCTGCTCCTCCCCTGCCAAGTGAGCCAGACACCCCACCCTTGCCCCCAGAGGCACCTCCTCTCCCACCAGAACCAGAAGATATGGACATTGATCCCCCTCCTGAGCCTGAACCTGGGCCAGAACCTCCTTCTCTTCCAATGCTAGCAAATGAAGACCAAGTCAAGTCAGAGCAAAACAAGTCTCCTGAAAAGTCTTCTAAGAAATTTCTAGAAACACTAGACATTCCACTCCCCATTTCCACACCTGGTACAAGTGGTGGTTCTCCTGTTAAGAAACCTCAGTCTGACTCAACTAAGGAGCAGGAGAATAAAGTTAGGGAAAAAAAAGATGTGCCTGATAAAAAAGACCATGCTGATGGAATAAAGCCAGAAAAATCCTACAAATTTGCTTGGCAAGATGTAGATGAGGATGAATTCTCAGATGTGACAATCAGCTCTGTGCACACAAGTGACTTGTCTTCCTTTGAGACATCTGAATCAGAGTCAGAGAGTGAAAATGAGGTAGATGAAAGTGAGGAGAAAGAAGAAAATAGCTCAAGTGATGAGGGACAGGTCAAAACAAAGAAAGGTGAGGGGACATTTTAAGATATAATTATTTAATGAAAAAAAATTATAATTATTTACTCTTTTGTTGAAACAAAGAATATGCCTGTATTGTCCCACCTATTGTTTGAATTTTTTGGGCACTGTGTAAAGATGTTTTGGTATTCGTATTGTGAAGATATTCATCGTGGATTATTTCAATTATGGATAGTTTATACTTAGAGTATCATATAACTTTCTGTGTTCATATATACTGTACAGAGTACAGAGCCTATAAAAGATTTAATACATGCATATTTTGGTAGTTTGACTATTAGATATAATCATGATAAATCTTTATCCTTTCAGTGAAAGAAACAGAAGGTGCTTGTCCAGCAAAAGAAGACTCAGCAGATCATTTTAGACAAGATGAAACTGCTACTGAGAAAAAACCTAGAAAATTAATATCCTTGACTTACAACCTCAGTGACAGTGATGATGGAGAAACTAGAGAAGAGAAAAAAGCCAGAGTTGTAAGTAACTTTAAAACAGGTTTTAAAGTATATACATTGTAAGTAAAGTGTTAAACTTTTAGAAAACAAGTAAGCTCAATGGAACTCTTAAAATCTAGAAAAAGTATTTTTATTTTTGAAATAAATTTATTTTTCTTACTTTGAGGCTAATGAAAAAGAGCAGCGATATTTGCAACGCCAGAAGAGAAGGGCTGCATATGAATCTAAAAGAAAAGAGAGAGATGAAGAAAAGGCACGTCTAAGAGAAGAAAGAAAAATTGCAAAGGAGACCTTAAAAGCTGTGCCAACAGAAGGTAGAAGAGTTTAAGAGAAAATTCTTGAAATAAAATCTTCAATCTTTTGTGTCAAGATTTTTTTCATTTGCAAATTAAGAAAACAACTGTTAAGATGCATCATGTGCACATTTGTATCTTTAGATATTTATAGCATGTATGTTTTGCTGAAACTGTAAAGGTATGTGAAATCTATATATGAGCAGGGTTTATGTACAAAAAATACTTAACAATATTGCATTGTGTTTTAGAATCAGAAGAAGTCTCATCTGAAAAACAGGAAGAAAAGAAGGCACAAGACAAGAAACACAGAATGAAAAAATCTAAGACCAAGGAGGAATTGAAGGAAAGACTAAAAGAACAAAAAGTGATGGAAAAGAGAATGGCCTTAAGAAGGCAAAGGACAAGGAATAGAAAGTATACTTCAGAAGAATTCACTTCCATCTTTACTGATAAGAGACAGCATATACTGGAAGAGGGTTACACAGATGTGATTGAAGAGACGGTGGAAGTAGAGATGTCTGGAGAATATACTGTGGCAGACAACAATCAGACAGACTATACACAGGGTCTAGGCGGATATGAAAACATGCCTGGGACTCCAACACAGGATGAAGTAGAATATTCTGTACCAGACAACGAAGTTGTACTTTCAGCTGAACAGTCAAATATTCCCATTGTTGATGTGTCTGCTATAAGCACTGGGCTAAGCATAGGTCACTTGATCACTGGGGCAAGGTCAAAATCAGATGACACGTCAGCTCCCCAGAGACCAGATACTCCTCGAAGTGTAGGTTCCGAATCATCACGTGCAGAGTCAACTGAAGGTGGGGTGAGACGGTCAAGGAGGGTGTCTTCTTTGAAGGATGAACCAACTACACCCTTGGATACTCCCAGGTCAGACAGCAGAACTTCAAGCAGGTATTAAACTTGTAGCACTCAGCAGGGCCTGATTAAGCGAGTTCATTATCAATTTTGTGGGTAGTTGGCATTGTTACCACTGTGAATTTGTTGCATGCCAAAACAAGGTATGGGGTATACTGGGATTAAATTGTAGAAGCAATCTTGCCAGGCAGCACTTAAACAGACTTCAGGAAGACCCAGTGAAACTGCACAGACAGACCTTGTCATGTTTTTGTGAATCATTGTTTTTTCATTTTGTTTTTATATTTCTTCACAATATTTATTGAATTCAATTGACACTTCAGCTTAATGCAGTTGTGCCTAACAATCTTCTACAATTTCCAATCAGTTTTCATGAAACTGTACAAACATAATGACTAAATATTTGTCAGACTTTAGGTACTTTTTTTTTAAAGTCTGAATTGGGATTGAATTGATTCTGTGCATGATATTTACACATAAGAGATGTAAATTTAGAATGTTTTCAAACACAAACAGTACACCCTTAACAGACATTTGAATACACATGAAAGAATATGTGTAGAAAAAATGCTATTTGCAACATGTTTATTTCTTTTATTTCCTTACAGATCGGGTGCAGATTCAGATAAAAAGTCTCAGTCTGCCCAGAGGTACGACTTGGATGACCTGTATAAACCACGTGTCAGTCGTCGTCGTAGTTCACCTGCATCCAGTACATCAAGTGAGCAAGAGCCAGGACAACTGCGTTCTTCTACTCCTAGGTATGATACAAAATCTGTAAAACAATTTATCTTATTAGATTAATTTTTTTTTCATTACCTCACATTTAGGTAAATGTAGATGTTTTTCCTTTTTGTGATGTTTTCTAAGGCTTACAGGTATATCAAATTAATTTTAGATCAACAGAGTCCACTAAAGCCAAACCGTCTCAGATTTATGATAATTCAGAGCTGTACAAACCACGTTCAAGTTTTTCCACTCGTCGCCGTCGTAGTACTACCCCTCCTGCTGCGTATCAAGAAAGACCACCATCCCCATTAGAAACACTTACGCCAAGGTAATTGTTTTTCGTTATATCAACCAATTAATAATGTTTAATAACTATTAACAACTTTTGTGTTCTTTTTGCTGTTAGATCTGCAGTTAAACCAGACTAAATGACACCATAGTTTTTTCATAAAGACACCAGTTTCATTAAATCATTTTCCTAAAATGATATTTGCATGGATATTTTCTACTTACATTTTATGCACTTTGCAGACTTGAGGAAAAATAAGTAGGTCAAATTTATGACCAAAAATTTAAAGATGGTGCATTTTTAATGCCCTTTTCTTCTTTCGTGATTTTATTTTCTGTTTATTTTTTGGCATCTGGATGTTATTTCTGTGTAAGAAACTAGTACTAATTATTTATATACATAACATTCGTGCCTGTAAAGATAGGTGTGGATTGTTTGCAATTTTTTCTAAATTTTTTAAACCCACTCCCCCCCACCCACCCACATACACACACACACAGAGATTAGCATATATCGAAATTGTGCTACTTATTTGTTGACCTATTGCAAGTTATCGAGTTTACTGGTTTCTATCAGTTCTGTAATGGATCTGTACAAACATCTTTATAATAAGAAACTGTCAGTTAGAATTGCTTTTATTGCCATTGCAGGCCAGATTCATCTCCAGAGTCTCCGGAAAGGAGAAGAGAGCGTAAACCAGTAGATGAAGTTGACTTTGGGGAGGCAGCACGTAGAACTAGACCTCCAATAGAGACCATAGATTTTGGGGAGGCTGCAAAGAGAACCAGACGATCAGCAGACACTATGTTTTTTGGAGAGGCTGAAAGAAGGGCAAGAAGTCAACGGTTTCCACAGTCTCCTGTTAAATTCACCAACAGACTTCCCAATACAATGGACAGGGATGAAAGGTCATTGTCATCTGGCAGGTCACAGTCACCTCCTGATGAGCGTAGCCTATCAAGATCCCCAAGGTACATTGACAACAAGAGGGGTGGCTGGCGCCCACCATCTCCAGGAGGCGGTAGGAGCAGATCCCCTATAAGAAGACCACCTATGCCAGGTGCATCAATGAGAGGTCGGAGGCCAGCCTCTCCTCCACCCACAATGGGGTATGGACAGAGGAGAACACCTTCTCCACCACCAAGAGGTAGACCACAAGGTATGGGCCCAGACATACCACAATCCCCAGGGGGAAGACCCCCATCACCTCAAGAACCAGGGATGAGAACAAGGGGCAGATGGAAAGCTTCTCCTCCAGCACATTCTCCCCCAAGGGTGGAATCCCCACCTCCAGAGGGCAGCAGGTGGATGAGGGGACAGAGACCCCCATCTCCCCCAGGAGGCTTAAGGCAGCAAAGGGAAAGAAGACCCCCAAGGACATATAGTCCTCCTCCCATTAGGGGCAGGAGAGACTCCAGGGGTGGTGGCATGCCAAGACCTGTGTCTCCCCCTATTCAAAACCGAGAAATGAGAGGACAGAGAGCATCACCCCCACCTCTTCCTGTGAGAGAAACTAGACGGAACAGGGGTCTGTCTCCCCCATCACAGCCTGCCAGGGGTGGGAGAGGGAGAGGTCATGGTGGCATGCAACCAATGGGGAGAGGCATGAGAAGGCTCAGTGATGAGGAAATTCCTCCTCAAAAGAGACTTAGAAGATAAGGTCTAGGCTTTCAAACCAGCAACATTGAATTAAATTTTTTTTTTTTGTAAGGTAGAGTCAAGTCCATTTATACATAGTCTGTCAGTCCAAAAATCATCAAACAGTGTATTTTAGATAAGAGATGGTATAGGACAAAGAGCACAGACCTCTGTCTATGACAAAAGACAATGGTTCAGTTTAAAATGTTAATTCTTTCCCTCCTGTGAATAACTGCCATTCTTATTAAATTTCATTAAAATTTCCAAAGTTCTATGTTTAAGATATCTTGTCCACTTTTCCTAGTAAGTAAACAAACACTTTAATCAACATAACCTCCTTTACTGGTGGAGTTAAATATTGTAATAAACCATGTAAATAATATTGGAAGAAAATGCACATATTACAATCATTTTAAAGCACTGAAAAAAATTACTGTAAAGATATATGATGATCGAATTAAAAAATATCATGTTGTTGAACGGTGAAAGTGTACAAGAACATACTGACTTTAGTTTGCCTTTCCATATTTACTGCTCTTTATCTTTTGCATCGGAAGATGTATAATTTGTGTACATAGAAAATATGCAAATGTTATTGATGTATTTTGTTTGGCCCTTTGGATTTTTGATGTACATCAACCCTTTATCTTTATTAAAGGCATGGTTTTTTATCTTTAAGACAGTGCTTCAGAAGTCCAGGTGGATATTGTTCTCAGTACCACTAGTTTCATTAAAAACAATTTACTCTTTACATGGTGCACCCAATAATATTTTGGTCAACTACACGAATTACAGACTACCGGGCTTGTAAATAACCCACCTGGCAGTGGCCTCTCACATCAGACTGACGAAGACAGCTGCAAGCCCTTACGCTTGTGTTTAAAAAGCTTTGTTTTATAATCTCAATCTGGTCCATTTTCAATATTAAAGCATCTAAAATTGGTGGTGAAAACAGGACAAACATACCAAAAGACACTTATAAAATCGGTTTTATGGAAAGAAAACATCACACGTTTTTTGTGCAGAACATAAGTCCACTTTTGAGAATTTAAAAAAGACTTCTAACAACTGATCATTATAATATCATCCTTTCCTGTCAATTTTCTAATAACAAAACACAAGTACGAATTACACAAGTTTATTGCATATATGAGTGACTCTCAAAAATTCATTTGGAGATGTGAGAAATGAACAAATGAAGTGTATATAAAATGTCATGGTAAAATGTTTGGCCTCTTAAGCAAATTTTGTTTCTCTTTACTTCTAGCAATTTAAGTAAAATGTCTTGAGAAATTCTACATAGAAAAAATATACAGCTCATTTAAAATATATTGATAAATAGTAATATATGGAGATCTATACCAAAAGTAGAAAAAAATGAATTTCAAAGTAAAATGCTTTTCCAAAGCACAAAATGTATTCTAACATTAAAATCGCCCATTATATTCCTTTTCAAATGAACAAATAAAGACAAAGCCATCAAATGCGAACAGTTCATGCCAGTTTTCTCTTTGCATGAATTTTACATTCAACTTAAAAAGTTTTCTTGAAACTTCTCCCAATGCATCTTAATCGGGGCTTAAAAAGAGCAGATGAACAACATCAAATCCCCATACAATTGAAGCACCATCCTGGTTGACTTCCAACTTTTCCACAAGCCACATATTGTACATACAGTACACATACAACATGTACAGACATGATATGATGAGCTTCAACTTTGGCCTTCTGGCAGATCATCTGGTATGATTGTGATACACAGCCTTTTTTCTGGCCAAGAATAAACTTTGGGAGGATGAATCTGTAACAAATCAAAATAGGAAATATGCACGATATCTTTAAGATTTCATCTCGGGGTAACATGTTCTGAGTAAAATCATGATAATTTTTGTAAAATATACCTGATATACCCAACTTTCATTACTGTGTAATTTTTAAAAACATTTTCTTACATTTTCGGGTGTTGATAATTCTTCCATCTGGACTAACAGTCTCTCCACAAAATCATCAGTAAACAACACCTACAAGAGAACAATTGAATATTTTCTTTAAGTCATCATGATCTTAACTATCAGAAACCCACAAAATGCACTGCTCACATATGCACAGTGAATGAAAATTTTCTGCAAAATATCTATCAACAATAAGATGGTTTCATCCTTACCTGCAGCCATGGTCCATGAGCCCCATATGGATGTTCCTCGTCTACTATTGCACCTAATACACTTGAAGATACCAGAGTGATGGCAACATCATTTAATGCACTTTTAAATGTGAAGTGGCGACCATGCTTTAATCTTCCCCTAGAAAAACAAGGTGTGGCTTGTGTAATGGTCTAATTCAGATGAGAAAAAATAGGGCAAGGACCAAAAATAGCAAAGAAAATCATGAATTTGCCCTTTCCAACCAATGATTATTCTCTCTTTTATTTTTCAAGTTCGTATAAACAAATAATTATGCATGTTACACACACACACACACACATAAACAAAAAAAAAAAAACTTGCTCCAAAGTTGGAAAAAAATACACAGTTTTGCATAATAATTACATGTTATGTTATAAACAGTCATTACAATATACCTCAAAGCCAGGGGAAGTAGAGAGCCAGCCTCCACATTAAACTTCAGATGCACAGCATCCAATGTTCTTGTTCTGCACAGTTCAGATGGCCCCTCACTGCTTACATTACTATCAAATGACTCCTTTCTAGATCCACCAGTTTGTCTGCCAGGCAAATAATGATTGAAAGTTGAACATCAAATATTAAAGACTGCAACTGCAATTTTCCAACTAAATCTAAATTTCTTTAGTTCTTACCATTTACAAAGAAAAAAAAACCATTATTTAGTAATTGATAAATTACTAATAGATTGAAAATTGATTGTAAAAATGAGATTTGGCAAAAAAAAAATATATATATATATTGATGCTTTGTTTTCAGATAAATGTTTGGTGTAAAAGTACACCTGAAAAGACAATGCAGCCTTTTTTTATCAAAAATTCATAGGAAAGCAATCTGACACAGCTCGATACAAAATTGTCCATTCAATCAAATGCTTAACTGTGCACCAGTGACCATTAACTTACTGAAAGATTTAAGTGGCCACTCATGCCACTTGGTGAAATAAAAACTTAAACAAGTCTCAGCTACCCGAACACATCATTAAATACTTACTGATCTGGCTGGTGTGAAGGTGAGTATTCATTATCTACAGGCTCTTGTTTGATTTGATGAGCTGTGTTCAGCCCTTTCTTCAATGTGGCTTTGATTTGTTCAGATTCTGAAATCAATTCACATGTTTGAAATACATAAGTGATAAAAGTTATTATTATACCTTCAATAATGCAGTCTGCGGCAACACCCACAGCCAATAAAAATTTTGTTTGGACCAGTAGATTTTTCAGAATGTGTGAATTTAGTGGTCTGCATAGCCATTACTTTTTTTCTATAAGTAGTCAAAAAAGCTTTGCTTTAAATTTTTTCGGAAATGTAACCGTTACATGATAATTCTAAATAAAAAAAATAAAGGTCATGTTATTATAATCATTTTTGTATGTTTGAAAATAATAAGTAACTGTTTTCCTTTTAGTGCCTTTACAAGCAAAAAATCTAGGGGAGAGCTCAGCAATACTTCCAGAATTGGCAATGATACATGCAGGTGGTGGCTATATTAGACAAGATATTTTATATCAGACATGGTTTGGGGTTGTAAAGTAGGAAGATATTACCCAATGGCCATATGACCTGGCACCCAGGGGCTTCATGTAGAAAAACCAAAAGAAAAAAACAAGGAATTTCCAATCTAAATAAGAAAAAAATCATGTCTACTACATGTCCAACATAGTTTCTGTCCATAAAAAAGAACACTGGTGAAAAAATAGTAAATTCTCACCAAACGCAGATATGTGTGGCCTCTCTATGTCACTGCTGCCTCTTCTATCACCATCTATAAATCTGTTTTCTTTATTTTCCTCCTCGTTCACTTTGTCATGTCTATCTATGTCACTAGGTTCCTCCCATGCACAGCGGGCACTCACGCCACTTAAGTTGGAGCCTTCATTTTCAATACCTTGGTCAACACGATCCTTTAAATAAATATATATTAACATAAAATATATATATCATAGCTATTATCAATATATTGTCATGAAAAAAATGACTGTAATTATTTTGCAACAGCACCAAAAATGTAACTGCTTTATAATTTACTTAACATCATAACTTATGCTCTTCAATGATGTATTTGAAACATCTTTTTAATATTTGTCGATTAAAACACATTCTCTCTCTCTCTCTCTCTCTCTCTCTCTCTCTCTCTCAAAGCTTATTCACCTGGAGCGTAGGATCAATTTCAAATACTGTTTCCCCTCTACGCATTTCCGTAATTAACCAGGGTCCACCAGCACTGCAACATAAGGAATTATACCTTATCAACGATCACAACAGTTTAAGAGATGTTTTAGAACGTGGTATTTTACTTACCTTGTTAAACCCAAATAAGACCGGTTTTACAAGATACCTTACTGGTATAATCAGGTACTTTATATTTATATTATTATATCACATATCTTCTTAAATTGGAAAAAAAGAAGAAACAATAAGATTAATCATGACCTACATTGGTATAGTTTTTAAAAGTTCTATCACGCCAGCTCCATTCCAATGCTGTGCTGCCTTTAACTCTTCAGAACAACAACCAACAATCTGATATGAAAAGAAATCAATTACTTTCAAATTAATATTGCAGACTGTGTATATGAATCTACTGATTTTTTTCACATCAAATCCCTTGAAAAGTATGCAATGAGACATTTATAACATGTATATCTGAAAAAAAGGCTTCTAGAATTTGAAACTGTTTAACGAATATTATTTTAACTGCAATTTTATTTTTGTTGCCTTTTATGGTACAGTAGATGTTTTTATGTACAAGCAATTATTGTGATTGACTACATATAGGTTTATATGACTACAAGTTACATTTTCGTCAATCAAACTTATATTTAAAATACTTAACAGATGCACTTCAGCAGGCAATGACAAGAGATAATGTCTCACTGAGTGATATTATAAATCAAGAAAAAGCATAATTAACTAAAGCAGATGAAATTTTGTTTAAAGACTAGTGAAGACTATTAAATTGGGCTACAGAAAATGAAAAATGTATGCTTTAAAATTTATCACTGTTTCACTTAAAAATTTTATTAGGCAAAATATTGCCCATGTTGCTTAAACATTGACAATGGTCTGCATAAGAATAAATCTGCTTTTATTTGCTTCTTTTTTTTCACTTCAAACGCTATGTCACAATGCTTAACATTCTCTGCAGTTGTATTTCTCACTATTTCTTTTCTTAAGATTTTCATAATTCAAAGTAAACCCCACTAACCTGGACAAAGTTCACAATTCCATGAGGAGTGGTGATAGGCTGTAGCTGGGGGTCATCTGTCATCAACATATGCTGCACACGAGAGTCACTGTTATCTAATGGAGCATGCCATGAGACATGGTCTCCACTACACAGTGTGTTTTCTGAAAAAAAGATTGGTCGATTTCAGGCCATCAGCAAAGAATTATTTCTTGTAAAAATCAAACAGATAAGATGATATTTGTAAGTATAAAACATACCCATGCTGTTTACCATTTCTAAATGTCAACAACCCCCCTCCCCTAAATCTATAGAGTGTGCAAAAATGATGAATTGGTATAGCATAATATTCACTAAAAGAGCAGTTATTAATACAGTACATACACAGCATATGTCTGCTGTAACTGTTTCATATCAGTTCTGGTATAAAAAACAGCCGATCTAACCTGACTGAAAGACGTATCTTGCAAGTGCCTGTAGCAGTGCAGCTGGCCAAGTTGGAGGTGCAGTTTCTCCCGGTTCACGTTTCAGTCTTAGTGTTAATTCAAACCCAAATCCACTAGGACTTTCAGGGCCAGTGTTCCTGTAAAAAAATTTATCATGCTCATAGAAAATTGGAGGCATTACAGTATTATCTTATTCAATAAAATCTTTCCAACTGAACTTTTTACACCCAAGTTGTCTGATTATATTTCACACAAATGAAAATTTATATAAAGAAATAAACAATTTATGTATAAAACTACAGCGTTTTGAAGAGGAATTAACTTTTTTTATTTTCAGTTAAGAACAAACTGGAAAGTAGAGACAGGTGAATTATTGACCTTCCTATCAGCCTGAGGTGAAGCTGGCTGAATAATTAAGAAGGCAATAGTGCTCTCCATGTTGCCAGAAGTATGCAGTTCCTTGCCTTCTTGTACACTTATTTAAGAGTTTACAAATACTTTCTAACAGCTGCTTGCCAGACATAGATATCCAGATCTTGACTGCTATGCAAGAGGCATTGATATGAAATAATATAATCAATTCTGATAATTTCTACTCAGAGTGTTTCTACTTATCTTTGCCACACTTACTGAAGTGCTTTCCTAGGAATTAAATGTGCATGTAGTTATATATATATATATATATATATATATATATATATATATATATATATATATATATATATATATATATATATCCTAGTCAGGTTGTTACCAGTGAATCATCAGATCAATTTATTAGCACATTTACGATAACAATTAGAGAAGGGTGATAGCATAAGTTATAATATTCAAATGTATACGTAAAGTTCACAGTATTACCAATGACATACTGACCAAACTTGTAATTACATCACGATTAATATGATCAATAGAACCTAAAACAAAAATAGCACAGTGCCCAGAGTTCTCCTCTGAATACATGACAAAATTTGATGAAAAATACCAAGCCTAATTTTTGTAGTAAACTGTTAAGCTGCTTTTTCTTAAAAATTTGAACTTTGGCAAGGATAATTGTATTTAGGCTTCTGTTTTGGATAGTGACAATAAAAACGTTTTAAATACAATTGTGTTTAAAAGATAACCAGAAAGAAAAAGGGAACAATGTTTAAAGTTTCCTTTCAAAAAGACTTTCCATCAATTTTTTCTTTTAAAAACTCTCCAAAATTTATTATCTTTTTTTTTCTTCTGAAACTAAATTATTAAAGGTTACATTTGAACCGAGTGTTGGTGGAGCATGGGTTCTCAGTAGGGCATATAAACCACTTGTACTAGTTTCTTGTATGAATCAAATAAAGTCAACATGCCAAGGGATAAATTTAATCACTCTATCAACCATGAAAGAGCTTTAAACTGAAGATTTAAACTTTCTTTAATTTTTGGGTTGTAAATCTGACCTACTTATCTGCCCTATTTATATAAAGCACAGAAAACCAGCAGAAAAATCCGTTCAAATATCATTTTTCAGGTAATATGAAATGATGTCTTTTGGTATTTCTCTAAGGGATTCTATTTGAAATTACATGATGCCATGACATTTGGTTGGCTTTTCACTCTTACAAGTATTCAATCTAAAGTGTTAATTTTTGAGTTTACTTGTAACCCTAACAATATACAAATCCAAAATGAAACTATGAATTTCTAAATTATGCAATTATGTTGTTCTGTTTCAGACAACTAATAATGGCTAAATAATAGGGCTATCCCAAAGAAGTGGGTATTCAAGTTCTATGGTATAACTTACTGGTGCACACGTCCATCTCCATGTAGATCTGAAAGTCCAAAACTAATATAGTGCCAATGTGGCGGAATATTCCTATCTGGGTCCCCTGGGTTGGCGTACATACTGATATAGTCCAGCGGGTCAGGACCACCCAACCTGCAAAACACAAAACACGGCTAACCTGGTGTTTAGTTACATCCTCCTCTCACTGAAAACAAATGCATGGGTTACTCCTAGGTTAAGTGAATACGTCTGACCTACATTTCTCTCAAATCTGTCTCCAGATTCCTTTTCTCCAAGTACAATACATGACCTCCACAAATGTCTCTGTCTGTTTTGATTTAATGGTTACATAAACATTCTGTTCACTTACACATATGCAAGCAAAGGATTGGAACAATTTACAACCAAGTTACAAATCCACTTCTGATGAATATTTCATTTTCACTTGTGCTTACAGATTTTTCAACTTTGATGTCACCTACTTTCAGATTCAGATAACCTTAAAAACTGGTAATGCCATATACAGCTCTTAATTTATTGTAGCAGCAATGTAACAAGGGGAGATTATCAGGTGTTTTTAGTTTGTTTTTACACCTCTTCTAATTTTACTGAGAATTAATGACAGAAGCTGAAAACAATTCCTGGTTTGCCTTTAACTTGCAGGCTCATTGGATCTGTGTTTGTTTTCACACTCCTAAATTCAAACTACCCATATTTTATATGCATTTTTCTCGTTGAGTAAAAAATGTGGAACTAAAAAAAATGCATGTGTAGTATAAATATTCAATATGTCAACGTAAGATTAAATGGACATGGGAATTCCTGTGCTTTCCTGCTATAAAAATCACAGATTGCCAGAGCCAATGGTGGCTATCCTCTTATCTATTTAAAAGAAATCCACACACTGTCAGCCTTAACAGGTATAATATCTGCATTTTAAATTGTCCCAAAGTCATATTTTCTATATCTATAGATCCTGAAAAACTAATTATTTTTCCGAATTCCTAAAAATGATAAATGTACCAGATGTAGAAATTTCTTTCTGAAATGTACAGGAAGACATGTTGGTTTAATTGCCTGGCAAGTAATTTATTACTAAATTATTTAATTACTAATGTTACAAAACATGAAATTTCAGTGTTTCAGCAATGATAGTAAGTAGGATAAAAAAATCTGGAAAGTTTCATGTGGTGGAAAAATCCTAGATAGGATTTATCTAGGATAAAAATACTGTCATGTTGACGTCATTTCTTAAAGATAATGTTTCTAAGCTTAATTTTATTAGTTTGTTTACCATAATTAATTTTTTTTTTTTTTAAATGATCGAGTAAGAAATAAACAGTGGTTTTTGCTCAAATATAAAAAACAATTCAAAACCTGCAAACCATTAACAGCCATTTGAGAAATCTTTCAATTATCTACAAAATTCACAAAAATGTTCTTCTGTTTATTTACTTATTAACTCACATAATAATAAAGCTTTCGATTTACTAAAATTTTAATTCCTTTGACTTCCTGAAATCATTTTCAAAAGAAATAAAAGTAATTTTAGTAAATTATGTTTTCGATCACGGTGTGATTTGTTTTATTACACCAATAAGATTTTAACTTATTCAATAAAACTCAAAATTTCATATGATATGAATAAAACTTTGACAAAATCCGACAGAGAAATAAGATTAGTAGCAGATTTCGAACTAAGAAGTGTCATTTGACATTTTTCAAATAAATGTTTTCCACTTTATCAAAGAACGGTAAACAATACGATTTGTGAAATAAAATCCCCACACACTAAAGTAAATTTCCTGCTATTGAATAAATGGGGTCTTTACACAAATATACTCAGTCAAAATTAAAAAATACGTGTACGCTTTAGTCGTATCACCAAGATGAAAGTCATTGTGAGTCGGTTGAACATGAGACTGTGAAGCTAAAAAATAGCAACGACTTATAATATTTACCAATATTTGACGACCGCTGTCACTTGAAGAGGATTGGGCTGTTCGGGATACAGTCTTCTACAAGCATTATAAATCGCTTCTAGCCCTGCAGGTGTTACAGGAACACCCATACCACCGAAGTTTGGAGCGAAATACTGCTCCCCTCTCTCCTCCATCTTGCTGTTTAAAGCTGTTTAAAGAAGTGTCATTTTCCCCTTACAAAGAAAACACATTGATCATGTTTTATTTTCAAATTAAGTATCATGCACCCATTATTTCAGAAAATAGCATTTTACAATATTTTTAATAGGTTACTGTTCATTTTGTTAAGAAAGTAGTTTTCTGCTTTATTTTCAAATATTTTATATAAGTCATATTCATGGCTTGGGGGTAATAGACGGAAGAGCCATACACTTCCTCTAGGAGACCACCCAAGTAAAACGACAGACTAACGAGAGGTATTAAAAGTTTCAACTACAAGGCCTCCTTTTATGTGTATTCTAAAAATAATTCATTATCTCATGTGATTTCCCTCAAAATTATATGTCTTTAGCATAAACAAATAAAAACATGTTTCCTGTCACCGTAAACTTCCGGTAAAGGTGCGCAGACTCGTGCAGCGGCAAAGGAAGTGCCAAAATTTGTGTATGGGAGGGAGAAAAGACAGTTCAGTAACTGCACGATGGATACCTATGATGTGATTGCGAATCAACCAGTTGTTATAGACAATGTAAGTTCCTTGCTATTCTGTATGGTACACCAAAATAACATTGCGAGGACAAATTATGCGCCCGTGAAGCAGATCTGTTTAATTGAAATTGGGTCAGATATGAGTCATTTTTGGATATATTTTCCAATTCACATTCAATGATTCCACAAATTCATGACAGTCATGACACATGCTGCCGTCACATTCTAATTTGTTGTTTATTCCGTTAACAGATAAATGTCTATCTATGCCGAACTAGTAATAATTTGACACAACGCAGCTGGCGTCGACGGTGGATTTCTTTTCTATTCTTTCAGTGCCTTAGATTAATTATTTAATTTTTAGATTATTATTTATTTAGTTTACTTTGTACAGATGCAATATTGAGTAACAGTGACAATTTGAACTGTAAAGAATCTCAATTCAAAGTGATAAAATAGTAAAACTTTTTCCTCTCACTAATTGAAAAATTAATATTCCTTATGCATATTCCTTATGCATATTATATATTGTTCATTTGGCATGTCTCTGTTGGTGACTTAATGTTATATGGGCATGATTTGAAAATGGTTTTAAATGTACTTTCAGGGTTCTGGTGTAATCAAAGCAGGCTTTGCTGGTGATCAGATACCCAAATATCATTTTCCCAATTTGTGAGTATTTGCATTAACTTGTTAAAAGTGCACAGTGTTGAATATTTGGGTATTTCAATGGTTTTGATCAACGTTTGACCACTGAGATTGTGCTCAGAGGCAGGTTCAATGTATTAAATTCTATCATTTTCTCCATTTACTTTTTAAAAGTATTCATGTCTTATTCTCATGATGATTTTAGTATTGGACGACCTAAACATGTCCGGGTTATGGCAGGTGCTCTGGAGGGAGATATCTTCATTGGACCAAAAGCAGAGGTATTCTAACAGTTGGGGTTTCATGACTGCAAATAAATGAAGTTCTTATTTATTCCAAATATTTTGTATTTATTGACAGTTATGGAAAATTAATTTTTTTCTGTCTGTCTACCACAAAAGAATACATGGCATTACACATATAATTTTAACTAATTATCAGCAAAATCATTTCTTATACAGCTACGTATAAAATTATGGGTGAAAAAGTTGCTTTTTTTCCCTTTGGCCTAAACTTGGGTGGGGGTCCAAATCTGAAGAAAACATGCANCACAGACCGTGATCATAAGATAGCGCGAATAGAAAATAGATTTTTAGAAAATAGACATTCCATGTGAACGAAGCCAAAGTCATATTTTCTATATCTATAGATCCTGAAATACAAATTATTTTTCCGAATTCCTAAAAATGATAAATGTACCAGATGTAGAAATTTCTTTCTGAAATGTACAGGAAGACATGTTGGTTTAAGTGCCTGGCAAGTAATTTATTACTAAATTATTTAATTGCAAATGTTATAAAACATGAAATTTCAGTGTAGGGATTGTTTCAGCAATGATAGTAAGTAGGATAAAAAAAATCTGGAAAGTTTCATGTGGTGGGAAAATCCTAGATAGGATTTAGCTAGGATGAAAATACTGTCATGTTGACGTCATTTCTTAAAGATAATGTTTGTAAGCTTAATTTTATTAGTTTGTTTACCATAATTAATATTTTTTTAAAAAATTATCGAGTAAGAAATAAACAGTGGTTTTTGCTCAAATATAAAATACAATTAGCAGCCATTTGAGAAATCTTTCAATTATGTACAAAATTCACAAAAATGTTTTTCTGTTTATTTACTTATTAACTCACTTAATAATGAAGCTTTCGATTTACTAAAATTTTAATTCCTTTGACTTCCTGAAATCATTTTCAAAAGAAATAAAAGTAATTTTAGTAAATTATGTTTTCGATCACGGTGTGATTTATTTTATTACACCAATAAGATTTTAACGTATTCAATAAAACTCAAAATTTCACATGATATGAATAAAACTTTGACGAAATCCGACAGAGAAATAAGATTAGTAGCAGAATTCGAACTAAGAAGTGTCATTTGACATTTTTCAAATAAATGTTTTCCACTTTATCAAAGAACGGTAAACAATACGATTTGTGAAATAAAATCCCCACACACTAAAGTCAATTTCCTGCTATTGAATAAATGGGGTCTTTACACAAATATACTCAGTCAAAATGAAAAAATACGTGTACGCTTTAGTCGTATCACCAAGATGAAAGTCATTGTGAGTCGGTTGAACATGAGACTGTGAAGCTAAAAAATAGCAACGACTTATAATATTTACCAATATTTGACGACCGCTGTCACTTGAAGAGGGTTGGGCTGTTCGGGATACAGTCTTCTACAAGCATTATAAATCGCTTCTAGCCCTGCAGGTGTTACAGGAACACCCATACCACCGAAGTTTGGAGCGAAATACTGCTCCCCTCTCTCCTCCATCTTGCTGTTTAAAGCTATTTAAAGAAGTGTCATTTTCCCCTTACAAAGAAAACACATTGATCATGTTTTATTTTCAAATTAAGTAATATGCACCCATTATTTCAGAAAATAGCATTTTACAATATTTCTAATCGGTTATTGTTCATTTTGTTAAGAAAGTAGTTTTCTGCTTTATTTTCAAATATTTTATATAAGTCATATTCATGGCTTGGGGGTAATAGACGGAAGAGCCATACACTTCCTCTAGGAGACCACCCAAGTAAAACGACAGACTAACGAGAGGTATTAAAAGTTTCAACTACAAGGCCTCCTTTCATGTGTATTCTAAAAATAATTCATTATCTCATGTGATTTCCCTCAAAATTATATGTCTTTAGCATAAACAAATAAAAACATGTTTCCTGTCACCGTAAACTTCCGGTAAAGGTGCGCAGACTCGTGCAGCGGCAAAGGAAGTGCCAAAATTTGTGTATGGGAGGGAGAAAAGACAGTTCAGTAACTGCACGATGGATACCTATGATGTGATTGCGAATCAACCAGTTGTTATAGACAATGTAAGTTCCTTGCTATTCTGTATGGTACACCAAAATAACATTGCGAGGACAAATTATGCGCCCGTGAAGCAGATCTGTATAATTGAAATTGGGTCAGATATGAGTCATTTTTGGATATATTTTCCAATTCACATTCAATGATTCCACAAATTCATGACAGTCATGACACATGCTGCCGTCACATTCTAATATGTTGTTTATTCCGTTAACAGAGAAATGTCTATCTATGCCGAACTAGTAATAATATGACACAACAGCTGGCGTCGACGGTGGATTTCTTTTCTATTCTTTGAGTGCCTTATATTAATTATTTAATTTTTAGATTATTATTTATTTAGTTTACTTTGTACAGATGCAATATTGAGTAACAGTGACAATTTGAACTGTAAAGAATCTCAATTCAAAGTGATAAAATAGTAAAACTTTTTCCTCTCACTAATTGAAAAATTAATATTCCTTATGCATATTATATATTGTTCATTTGGCATGTCTCTGTTGGTGACTTAATGTTATATGGGCATGATTTGATTTATAATGGTTTTAAATGTACTTTCAGGGTTCTGGTGTAATCAAAGCAGGCTTTGCTGGTGATCAGATACCCAAATATCATTTTCCCAATTTGTGAGTATTTGCATTAACTTGTTAAAAGTGCACAGTGTTGAATATTTGGGTATTTCAATGGTTTTGATCAACATTTGACCACTGAGATTGTGCTCAGAGGCAGGTTCAATGTATTAAATTCTATCATTTTCTCCATTTACTTTTTAAAAGTATTCATGTCTTATTCTCATGATGATTTTAGTATTGGACGACCTAAACATGTCCGGGTTATGGCAGGTGCTCTGGAGGGAGATATCTTCATTGGACCAAAAGCAGAGGTATTCTAACAGTTGGGGTTTCATGACTGCAAATAAATGAAGTTCTTGTTTATTCCAAATATTTTGTATTTATTGACAGTTATGGAAAATTAATTTTTTCTGTCTGTCTACCACAAAAGAATACATGGCATTACACATGTAATTTTAATTAATTATCAGCAAAATCATTTCTTATACAGCTACGTATAAAATTATGGGTGAAAAAGTTACTTTTTTTCCCTTTGGCCTAAACTTGGGTGGGGGTCCAAATATGAAGAAAACATGTATGGATTATTTTTTAATTCACATTTNCTCTCTCTCTCTCTCTCTCTCTCTCTCTCTCTCTCTCTCTCTCTCTCTCTCTCTCTCTCTCTCTCTCTCTCTCTCTCTCTCCTATTTTGATAGGTCTTTTTTTTTCTGTAAGACTGCCTTTGATCAGTTTTTCAAAATCTTTTTAAGAAATAAAACCGACACCCTTTAAGAAAGGAGAGAGATAGAGATGTGAATGCAATAAAAAGTTAATAAAAACCTATATTCTTTGGGCAGTACCACAAAATGTCAGTGACACCTATATACTCAACAAAATAAGGGTAATTAACAGCTTCATTTTTGTTTCTCTGTCTTTTAGCACCCAGTCCTTCTAACTGAAGCTCCACTGAATCCACAAAGAAATCGAGAAAAGGCTGCAGAACTTTTCTTCGAAACCTTCAATGTACCTGCATTATTTATTTCAATGCAAGCTGTTTTGAGCTTGTAAGTATGTATTTGAAAATTATCAAGGCCAAAAAGAGCTGTGTTATTTGTTTGAAAATCTTGGGTGCTAGTGATTTGTACTTTATTGGCCTTGATAACTGTGTCTTTGATTGTTCAGGCTATTGTGTATAGGTGAATATTGTTCATTTGGCATGTCTCATCTGTCCTGTTTTTTTCCAAATAGGTGTGTACTCTTCAGACGTGACCTTGTTTTTTTGTTTTGTTTTGTTTTTTTGACCTATTCGCCTTTAAAGCAGAACTTCAGAAATTCTAAAAAAGCATATTTGCTGTATATTTATTTTTATTTTATACTCACTTTCAAATTTGGTTCTTAGGTATGCTACTGGTAGAACAACAGGAGTGGTGTTAGACTCTGGGGATGGTGTCACACACGCTGTCCCCATCTATGAAGGTTTTGCCATGCCCCACAGTATCATGAGGTCAGACATAGCTGGCAGAGATGTCACTAGATACCTCAAACTGCTACTAAGAAAAGAAGGACAGAACTTTCACACATCTGCAGAATTAGAGATAGTTAGGCAAATCAAAGAGGTAGACATTCCCTTGAGTAGAATAAATTTAATGTGTGATTTACTCTCTAAGTAAAACACAAAAATTCAAAATGTACATGGAAAAGTGTGAAAGAAATATAAAAGTTAAATAATGAAGTCGCTGAAACTTAAAAGGAGTTGATAACATGAAGGTATAGGTTATGCTGCCTGTGAGCTTGATCCCATTTTGGAAAACACAGTCACTGCAACTCAGTTTGCATTAAGATAAAGATGCCAAAATAATGTCTTCAGATTTTTATTCCAGAATGCATGTTATTTATCAATAAACCCACAAAAAGATGAAACCATGCAGACTGAAAAGGCACAATATACACTTCCAGATGGAAGTGTATTAGAGGTAAAAAACAACCCTAAATATCTGTTTACTCAGTAGCATAATATCTTTGAGTGTTAACTGTTTTGTTTACATTTTTCAACTGGGTAATTGGCATATATTAATGGCTTTGCACTTCCGTTCAATATTGATATGTTAAATGATCATCATTAGGAAATGGAATTTTTCATCAGGTGCAAAACCCCCTCAAATCTGCATAGGTCAGTGAAAAATTACTTTGAGTTTACATCTTTGAATTTTTTCCATTATCAACCAAAAGACTGACTTTTATGAAAAGAAAACAAGAATAATCAATTTACCTTTTTTTTTCTTTTACACGAGTTGTGTTTTTTATATTCCAGATTGGTCCTGCTAGATTTAGAGCACCAGAACTTTTGTTTAGGCCAGATTTAATTGGTGAGGAATTTGAAGGTATACATGAGGTTTTGGCATACTCAATCCGCAAGTCTGACATGGATCTGAGAAAGGTGCTATGGTCCAACATTGTCCTCTCAGGAGGGTCAACATTATTTAAAGGTAATATTTATTGGTAAAAATTTGGTTTCAATATGATAAGATGTATACTTTAGATTTTCCCAATTGTATTTAAATTATATTTCTTAAAAGATTTTGTCCTGTCTTAATTTTAGATTTCCAGTAGAAGACTTTTATTTTATTAGTCTAGGGGTGCATTAGTAAATTTATTACTTTCAGTGGTTGACTGTCTCCAAGATAAACAGATTATATGTCAACAGGCATTTATTTTCAAATCCACTTATTTACATTTTTAATTGAATCAGTTATGGTTTGAATAGTGAAATCTGTAATTATTTTTAGATAATCAAAATAGAACTGGTATATTACATTCATTGGAAATAATCAAAACTTGATAATTGAGTTGGCATTAAGGAGACTTAGTCACATTTAAATAAAAGATATTTCTTTTACCCAAAGGGTTTGGAGATCGACTGCTTAGTGAAGTCAGGAAATTAGCACCAAAGGACATAAAAATAAAGGTAGGTATAACATGATAGTGATTGTCAGAAATAATAGTTGTGATTTATTGCCACAGTATCCACTTAGATTTTCAGTGTTTATGTCAGATTTGCCCAAATACACCTCATTTGTCTGGTGATATTGATGTTATATTTTTTAAGTAATGAGAAATTAAGAAGCATATTTCTTGATGATGGAAGTATTTATTTCATCCGAAGCAATTGTTGAGATCCTCATTGCTAATTACAAATAAATATTGTTTTCAGATATCAGCTCCACAAGAAAGATTATATTCCACATGGATTGGGTAAGAAATGCTTGTGTGTACTTAATGAAAAAAAAAGTGATGTGAAATTCCAAATTGTTGTTATTCACACTATGTATAATATGCATGAGCAGAAAATGATGCTTGACATGGGTTGTTTGTTGAAGTGACTGACAAAATGTAAATCTTTAATTCCAGTGGTTCCATATTGGCTTCCTTGGACACATTTAAAAAGATGTGGGTTTCCAAGAGAGAATATGATGAAGAAGGAGTAAGAGCAGTGCATCGTAAAACTTTCTAACGGTAGATGGACTGGATACCTATTATAAAATGTATTACCTATATGGCCCCGGCTGTTTGTAAATACTGTAAGTTACTGCAGTTGGTGTCTGTTTACTTTTCTGTAGTACCTTATTACCAACCATGTGGCTGAGATGCAGTGGAATTGGTTTCAAGGGAAGTTGTCTTGAATTCTCTAGTTGCCAAACATAAGGCTTAGATTTCAGCTTCCAACTATGTGGCGCGGTAGACTGTAATATTCGCATAGCAGAACAATTTCAGTCCAAGTTTCCTTATTCATGTCTATTATTGGTCATGCTGTATATATGATCTCCATCATGCTTACATGCCACTTTTTTTAAAAGAAAATCTTTGATATATGTGTAGATTGCATTTAGACATGGATAGGAATAATATCTGGACATGGTAGAAATACATCATGCATTTTGATTCCCACCCATACATTATAGGACAGCAAACCCACCAAGGTGCTTGATTTCACTCGCCTGCAGCGCTGTCTTTGTTTTATAGTAAGTTACAAGTAAATTTGTGTAGTTCAAGGGAACAGGTGGAAGAAGAAAAATTTGTAACAAGTCCATGATGTATAAGGGGCTAATTGGCTATATTTGTAAACACAAACTAATCTGGATCAACTTGCCCTGATGAAGATCATTTTGTCCGATGTGAGGTAATTCACTTTGGTCCCTCTTTCAGCTGGAATGTAATTCCTTGTGCATGCAAGTCCAGTCATCTGTATTGCTCATCAAAAATTGTGGCAGAGAAGTTTTGACTGAAATTATGTCATAGCAGTAACTGGAATTCTGTGATCTTTGCAAAGGGTTATCAAGTGTAATAGCAACTGCTTTTATGTGTTTCAAGTGGATGTATGTATTATATTTTAAATCTCTTATACTGGCTATTTGAAAGGTTCCATAAATAAAATATCGGATTCTTTTGTGACCATTTTAAGAACTCAAAAAATATTTTTCCTCATTTTACTGTAAAAGATAGCAGTCAGTTCTTTCCATTATAAAAAGATGATAGAGAGAAGTATATTGGGGTCTTTTCAGGTTTAACAGCAGTTTTACATATTTTTCAAAATACTTGGTAGTGCACAAGGAACTTTGCTACAATTCTCTTTGGTCACACCTATTCTTGGTACTGAAATTGTTCAAGTGGCTCTGTACTTTGTATGGTAAAATATTACAAAGCTAGTTTTTGTATAGTTTCCTGTTGAGAAAAAACCAGTAGTGTTCATCAAAAGTATGTATGACATTGACACTTCCAACTTGTGCACTGAATTCAGATGCACTTGGAACCCATTAGAATTTAATATTTAATTAACTGTAAAACTTCTTGAGTAGTGGTCGCAAATTATCAATTTCAATACTGCTATTTAAATCATTGTCGTAAAATATAAGATTGAAACAAATATGTGTTTGTTATTATTGTCTGCTTAAAAATGTATGAAATATAGTGAAGTACAATCGTCATTTTAAATAAATTTATTGTTGGAATGTCAACATGGGGCACACAACCCTTGTGCATAGTTGATACATGATCATTATAAAAACTGGGATTGGGGTAACTGGTTTGTTTGAGGCTAGACTTGTGAATGTGATGATCAAAATGGATAACCCCCTAGCAACTTGATTAAATTAGCTGACAGTGTGTTTTTCATTATTAAAACATGACAACTTCTTAACAATAGCTTAAATGACCTTTATGTTTAAAGCTAGCTATTGCACTGTTAACTGCATTTAGTTAGCATGATGTTCTCATATCACAAGTTGAAAGAGCACAAAACAAATTCCAAGTTAAATATAACAACTGGATGTCAAGGTTAAAACCCAATTTCCTGTTATAATGAACATTGCTAAGAAAGTGCCAATATGATTTGAACATACATTGGTTTGAAGTAAAAAGGTGTATATCTATATATATGTCATCAATAACTTAATGTGAAACATTTTGTATTTTTTTTTATAAAAACACAAGTTGCTCACACTCTATTTAATTAACAACCAAGAATGGATTTGAGATATATTTTGTAAAAAGAGACCATGTACTAGTATTTTTCAGCCATGATGAGTACAAATAATGCTGACCAACCCGTGAAAGGATGAGTGCCTTTTCCTTCGCCAGTTGAATCATCATAATTTTCCCATACATAACCTGTCCTTTTATATTCGTTTACAATATTTTTCACAACATTATCTCTTAACTCTTTATAAATTTCTTTCGCTTTGGTTTTGTATGGTCCCTCAGTATTAGAGTAATGGTGTAGTGCTCTAATAGCTAAATAGTTCATGTTGATCCATATATTTCCCCTCCAATAAGGTGGATCATGTTCAGTGTTGTGCTTTCTATAGAGTGGTGCATTTCTAGCCAGAGATCGCAGTCCAAACCTGGTCCATAATAAGTTGGGATCTTTCAAGTCTGTTAGTATTTTGTCCAATTTTGGGGAATTTGGGTCTACAATTTGTAACAAGAAAGGAAATAAACTGACATAACCAAATGAATTTACATAGGAAAGTTTGGGTTGACTCTTCACCTGTCTCTCCTTTTCCATCTGCTGTTGAGGAGGAGGTCGCTGACCTGGAGCTAAATTTTTTGGAGGTTTAGGTCTCACAAGTTTTGTATGGTCAGTATGCAGTCCAAAGTCACTGTACATCTGAGCCTTTTCAGACCAGTGGTGTTCATCAAGAAGTTTATTGTCTGTTAACAAATCATGAGTTGCCTGGTAGTCTTCCCATGGTTCCCCAATGGTCTTTCCAATGTCAGCCATAATACCTGATGCCAGAGCCATCCAGCAGCGAAGATCCACATGCCTTTCAGCATCAGTAGGGTGAGATGCTCTTGGGTAGTCATCTAGGCCTGAAGTGAGGGTCTTTGGATTGAGTTCTCTCTTGGTGTTGGAGTCTCTTCCACGCCATCTATATGTCAAAGGTTTAGGACCAGCTTGAGTTTCGTTGAACCATCTATACCATATTCTTAGTCTTGGATAAATATTTCTCAAATATTCAAGGTCTTTTGGATCATCACTCTTGGATAATTGTTTGACTAATTTTTGGAGGGGTAAAAACAGTGTTGGTGGATTTGCATTTTCATTTTTCTGCACAACAAACTCATCGGGCACCTTTGCTCTGGCTTCAACACCTAAGATTTGCTCTCTCGGGATCCAGCCTTCTTTGTTGATCAAGTCTAACCAGTGTCCAATGATTTCCTTGCTAATCTCAGGATCCCATTCCATGATGAGTAGGTTGTGGAAGCCTTCATCCCAAAGAAACCCCCTTGGGAAGAAAGACCTAGAAGGCACTGCTGTGTACAGTGGGGCAGACCTGTAATCTAACGGTTCCTTGTTATAAGAGGACTGCACTTTTGATGCTCCATAAAAATACCCTATGCCACCTAGCATATTACTCAGAGCATTCTTTGCTGCTGCTTTGTCTTCAGGATTATAACCTTTATCCTGTAGCTCAAAAATACTCTCAAATTTCTTCTCAAATATAATGCGTTGCTTGGAGAGTTCTACATCATACACACTGCCACTGAGGGTTGTCTCCCTAGTTTTGCTACCAGACTCATAAATAACTTCCATGTGAAATGGCAGGGCAACCGTCACTTGATGGACAACAAGGTTGGGAGAAGTGATACCATCAGGTAACAACCTTCCCCCAAGACCAATGTAACTTTTGGTCTTATCATCTCCCCATGGAGCCATTCTCATGCCAGCCATCACAGCTTCTTTCAGCTTATTAAGACCAGTAGCATTGGCTAAGAGATAGTCTGTGGCCTTAACATTCTTTCCCGGGGTTGGAAAATATAATTTGAAGCTGCCTGTTTCTGCTGTGTGTCCAGAGACCACTGTCATGGTACGCTTCTTTTCCACTGTAGGTTGTAGGGAGCCAGGTCCATCCAAGGCAGCATAAAACAATAAGGACACAACCATTGTTTCTCCACCAGGCTGAAAGATATAGAAATTAACAATATTTAGGACATACAATCAGATTACTGCTAGAGCAGACTAGAGGCAATTTTTTTTTATTACCAATATGAAGAAAATTGACGTTCAGAAAATCTTTTAAATTGTTCATGGGATAGGATATTTATGAATTATGTTCACATTTTATTCTTTTTTTACAAACTCCAAAAAGAGAGCTAGATATGATATCACATGTTAGATTAAAATATGCAGAGGCACTAAACCAGCTGTCTCCTCAAGAAGAGATAACATTCACTTACATATTTCAAAGACACTTGATAAAAATCAAGTTCTAACAAAAGCTTTCAAGGTTTCAGAGATTATGAATATGGAACAGCTTAAACAGCACTGTAACAATGCCTTTACTACAAGTTTGCCACAATTAAGAAAATCGCCTGACATGCAGAACTTGGAGATAAAAGAGTCAATTGTGTACATGTAAAAAGTTCAGTATGTGATGCATAAATTCCACAAAACAGTAAGTAAACAGTAAAGAACGAAAATATTTCTGTTAATGCATTTTAAGAATATTTGAGTCAGTTAAAGCATAAAGTTTATGCAATATTCCTGTCAAGTTTTTTTTTTATTAATAAAATATTTCATGTAATTTTGAAAAGAAAATAAAAAATACCAGTGTCTTAAAGCTAAAAAAAAATGGGTAATACAGTTACAGTTTTTAAAAAAACATAGGTCACATGAAGTATGTCTTTTCATATAAATCTTCTATATGGAAGTGTAACTATAAATCATTTGGGTTGCTCAACAACTGAGGAACACAGAGGACATTTTTTTCCATTTCAATACTTTTACCTTGGCACCAACTTTCCATTTCCCATTCAACCAAACCAGTTTATAATATACTGTGTGTGTGTGTGTGTGTGTGTGTGTGTGTGTGTGTTTGTTTGTGCGGAACAGCATGCATATACTCACTGCTGGTACTGGCGTTGCAGATATCTTAGCAGTCCAGTCACCGCCATGGTCCCCACCGGGTTTCTTCAAATATTCTGTCCTCAAAGTTACTGTGCGATCAATAATTTCCTGCACCCCAAAGTTGGTTGCATCGTGAGCGAGCCAGCCATAGCGTAACATGCCATCACCCTGTAAAGAGAATTATTACAACTATGATTTGCAGACTAACATGACTTCTGGGAAGGGGGGTAATTCCATACACTGCAATTTAGATCAGGAAAGGCACAAATGTGACACTGAGATGCCTCATGAATTCTATCAAAACATTAAATTGTAAACGTATCAGTAAAAATATCATTCCATGATCCAGAATATATCTTCTTTAAGAGTAAGAGGAAGTTTGCACACTTACGTGATCGCACCAATGTCTTACTGCAGGTGGCCTCTCTCCAAGAAACTGTGTAAACCACATTAATCCAAACACAGGGGACTTCGGGCTGCGAGTTTTTAACCCAAAATATGCATGTGGGCGATAACTGCCCCAGTACTTCTCAGGGGCCACTGCAGCCGACGTGGCATTCACTGGAACGATGAGCGGAGAGTTAAGAGGTCTTCGGACACGCTCTCTCAGTTCGTGCATCCAGTAGACATAAACAACTCCAACTACTACTAACATGACCGCAGACAGAGTCAGCAGAATCGGATAACCAAGACTGAAGCCCTGGTCAGGATCATCATCGTTGCCACTCGTCTTCCTTTTCCTCCGTCCATGGTCCTGAGTATGGCCATCCGCAGAGGACTTACTCTCGTCTTGTTTATATTGCAATTTCACTTGCCCCTTATCCTTATCCTTGGGAAATCGGTGCTTCGCTTTACTGGGCATTCTGCAACCTTGGCCCTGAGTTGATATCACCTTGATACTTTATGTTGCAGTCTGCTCTCGCTCCGGGAATAGATAGTGCTGTAGTCTATACTACACCCCATATAAAACACGTGTATCAATGTGCTATTGTTCTATTTTTCATACAGAATTCTTAATTCGCCGGTTGGAATATTGCTGCCAGCACGCCACCATCGCCAGCACGGAAGAGGAAGTGCAAACGGGTTTTGGATGCGTACCCGTTTATTGCGCATAAAATGACTAATAGAATATCCGGTTGCTAGACGCTGGAATAAGTTGTCGTCGGGCTTTCAAGAAAAAATACATCCCACTATAGATTTTAAAACTTTTTAATTTTTTTTTTTAGTATTCCCCTCTCCCCTCACACAAATATATTCTAAAGGTGACCTAAGCCTATAATTTTCAAGGTTTTTCTAAATTCGGTTAGATAATTATCAATGCCTGCACGTTCTAGGCATAGGCCTATTTAATTAACTAGATTTGCTAATTTATTTTATGGTTACTATGTTTTTACAATAAACCTTCAAACCCCTTGTCCTTTGAAATTACAGCCACTTTTCTACCCCTACCCTGAAATGGTTCCAGCTGTATTTGGCCTAAATTTGAATGGAAGTTTGTTGTAGGCCTAATTAGGCCTACCAACATTTCCAAAAAAATCAGTAGGCCTAAGTATAAATTGCCAAACTAATTTTACTAAATATTCGTCCCCCAAATCCTTTGCTTTCTGTATAAGTGATACATGTAGGCTTAACGAGGCCTGTAGCTAGGTATACAGTCAAGGGACTGCCCCTTTAATTTATTTTCATAGGGCTACTGATAGGCTATTGATCACAAGGATTCCGGGTAGGACTTTTATTTAACGTATTCATCATACACGTATGTAAATTTTTAATAGGCCAACTCTTCGCGATCATATAGCCTTACTTATATATTCTTACAGTTCCTACAAACAGAGCTGTCGGAAATATTAAAAATTCATTGCAAATAAAACTCTTAAAATTAACTCTTAAAACCAATAAAACGTTTAAATTTCTCATTACATTGTCATTAAGCATGTTTTTATTCTTAAAAAAAAAATGAACATGTCAGCAAGGAGAAGACTAATAAAAACGAATTGATTTCTCCGATAATCCATTTAATTGGTAATTATTACATTGCTATTTAGGCCTTTTCGATTAATTTTGATTTTAATTTTAATGGTAATCGGGACGACTGTAATTCTTCAAGTTACCGGCAGGCCTAACTTGCCATAAGCATTCATTAAAATCACTGTCAAGCATAGTTACATTAACTGAGTCCATCAAACATGAAGCTTAATTATGACTCTAGATCTGACAGGCAGCGTTTGTCTGTTTTATCTTTAAAGCGTTGATAAAAGTAATGGGTGACACAGCGACCCGTCTCCAGTAAACCCGGGAGGGCATGGACCGCAGCGAAACCCAGTCCCGGGGGCTGGCACGTCGTAACAAGTCACGTTACGGAAACAACTCCCTGCCAAACACCCTGGGATATCTGGAAATTAAAAAAAAAACATTTTTTAATGTTTTCTTCAAGATCACAATTAAGAAAATATAATCCAAGAACCACGTTGATATGGACTTGATTTTGTTGGGCCTGAAGCTTTCTGAGCCTGAAGTCTTGCACCCCATTTCCATAATTTTTTAGATCGCTCTATCCCTGCGGGGAGTCTCACTAGATTACTGTCAGCTTGGCCGGCTTAAGCGTCTGTCCCGCCTACTAAAGCTGTAAGGGGGTAATTAATTATGGTGCCCGCTCGGCTGACTGCAATTTAGCGCGAACCCCCAGAGAGTTAGGTCGATCTAAAACTTAATCTTTAGATCGATCTAAATCTCTGGGAAAGCACCCCAAGTACGTGTTTGCCCATAAACTAATGATTTATTCATATGTAAAGGGGCCAATTTCTTGTTTTTGAATAAAGCAATTGATACTTATTAGTTCATCTATGTAACATTTAACACCATTAGCCATTTATCTCACGAACACAGCCTCATAATTATATGAAGAGCTGGTTTGAATAAATTATTTTAAATAAATGAATGAGCAGAAGTGGATCTTGGACAGTATGGGGAAAGAAAGCGCGACCAGAAGTGGTTCCACGGATTTCATGCCGATACCTGAAAATCCACAATTTATCGCAATAATCTAAATGTCCAATGACTAAAACTATCCCTTACCCATTTCACACCTTTGCCCCTCCCATCCACTGTGACAACGACATTCTCCATTCCTCGGGTCACACCGCCCGTTCATACAGTCACAGTCCTCCTGGCACAGGTGCCCTTTCTTATTGGCTGGGCACACTGGAAAACAGTTAAGCTCATTGGTAAAAAAAAAAGAGAGAGAGAGAGAGAGAATCCAATGTAGTTATGGTGCATTTACGATATTCTTTTAAAGGATTTAAATTTTCTTCAAGTTCATAGAGGGTTTTCTAATTCTGCACCCTCGTCTCCGTTTTTATCTTCCTTTTCCATTTTTGCCACATAAATCATTGTTAAGGACGCATGAGGATTTATTTGCCCTTTTAAATTTTATTTATTTATTTATTTATTATTAAGGATTTAGAAATTGCGTTATACTAACTTTTTTAAACTTGGTCTTGGCTTGTCATGTGACTAATACACTGTATCAGAAAATTTAAAGAAACAGGGATCCTACCAAAATTTATTTTTTGTCTCATCTGTCTTAGTCTTCTTTGCTTTAAACCCAGCAAAAGTTGTTATTGTTTCATTTTATAACCTTAGATATCTTTAACTCAAAATCATGTCGGAAGAAAATAATTATGAAGTTTAAACTTACTCCTGCAGATTCTTGCCCCTGGTGCCTCTGTTGTGGACCCTGTAGGGCAGGGCACACAGGCCGTCTGTCGTGCCAAGGGCTGGTAGGTTCCCATCGGACATGGCTTACACTTATCGTCTGCCGCATCATAGAATGATCCAGCTTGGCAGGGGACTGCAATTAAATATTAACAAATATAACATTATCTACTAGGTAAAACTGATTTTAACAATAGAATAAAAAAATTTAAAAAGCAATTGAAAAACGATCAAATGTTTAATATAACGTACACATTAGTTAATCCATGAATAGATCTCCCTTTTGTTTACCACTTCAAACCTAATTCAGGATATGATAATTCACAGTATATTAGAATTGTCCTATTGGTATTCTGAATGATATATTTGCTTCGTCATAAGATTTCTCTTTAATAAATGCGCATTAATAAACTGTTCTTCTATCATAATGCTGTGTGAAAACAACATACAAATGCATATTCACACTAAGAACCCAACTTAAGTTGACGTGCATCTTCTTAGGCAGCTTACCACAATTTTCTTTACTGGCTTTCATTGCTTTGGGACATACGGTTTCAACACCAGAGGCGTCAAGACCATTTTGCTGTGGTTCGAAGTCCCGATTAGCGGCGTTAAATGCTAGCGCCCCCAGACGCTCCCGATACAATCTTTCTAGTACCCGTTTAGCATTCATCACTGCAGCCTTTAAAAACCTTTTGTAAGTTTTGAAAACCTTATCACCCAAAATTTCACAGTGTCGATCGGGAATGCGAAGAAAAATGCATATGTTTTTCCGGTCACGTTGCGTGAATGTCTGCCCTGCGCCTTTGTTGGCTTCGACGTCGAATTTGAAGTCAACCGACTGGAGTTCTTCCACGACACCACGTCTGCGTCTCCGTTTTGTGGTTCTTCCACAAATGATTCCAACATTCTTCATGTCACAGACCTTAGTACTGCTTTTAAGACAGACTCCTTCATCTGACAACTTTTTAGCGAACTCTCGTTTCACATCGTTTCTCTCTTGTTCTGTCAGTTCATTACAAGCACGCACAAAGTAAGTCGAGTTGGCTTCGAATTTGAAATCCGGGAAGAATTCCACTGAAAAATTAAAAGAAAAATTTTAAATGAAATTTTACTTGACAAACACTGAGTAAAGAAACTACGCTCTTAAAGGAATTAATTAGTCTGTAACAAATCCATTATATTTCATGAAAATGCAAAAGAAAATAGAAGTCTTTCGTCAAATACTACAATTAGGAGAAATTAAGAATTGCCTTGTCCTGTCTTACCAATAGTTGCTATTTCCCTTATGTCAATGCAGTCTTTAAAATCCTAATTTCACTCATTTACTGTGTAAAATCAATAACGGATTTTCAACCCCTTATTTTTAACGAAAGTACAAATGTGCCCTTTTAATCCACCTTTTTATCATAATTAACAAACTTCCTTTTTTTACCGATGCATGGGTCGAGAGTGCTGTTTATATTTTCTCTTTGATACGTCCACACATAGTCGGTCATTGGTCCACAGGTTTCGTAGTCGTTGGTTCTTGAAGGGAACTCAAACCCAGGGTTGCATTTCACTGAGCACTGCTGAGAATTTTGCTCCCGGTACCAGTGACACACAAGACCACCGTTATCTGGGGCGTCAGACTCCGTCAAATTTCGGCACGTTTCGTTTACTGCAGACAAGAAGTATGAAATTCAAAGAAAGATGGCATAGTTATATTTTAGTGGTTTGACTTAACCCAACCACAACAAAAACTAAATTCTGAATTCAACCACACTGTTCGCAATTGCATCTTATTTTGTAGCATGCCATTACAGTGTTTTTACAACTGGTTTATTACCTCCGCCAAGGAGGTTGTAGAACTTACTTATGTTTTCACCCCTGTTTGTTGGTTTGTTTGTTTGTTTGTTTGTCTGTCATCAACATAACTCAAAAAGTCATGGACCGATTTAAATGAAATTTTCAGGAACTGTCAGAAGTGGGCCAAGGAACAGATGATTTGTTTTTGGTGGTGATCTGAATTAATAATCAACAATAATCAATAATAATCAAAAATTGTTGCCTTGGCGGAGGTCTGCGCTCTCGGAGTGCTTTTCTGGTATTCTTTATCATTTTCAATTTTAAATTAGTGGGCTTCGTTATACTAACGATAGGATAAAGCCATTCCTAGTAACACACATCAAATACAAATAGTGAACGTAAAACCATAGCTTTTTAGTGTATTCATTACCTAAACAACTGTGTCCATCTTTGGGATCTATCTTGTAGCCTTGTATAGAACACAAGCACCTGTATCTGCCGTCCTGGTTCTCACACGTGTCTTGGCAGGGTCCACGGCCATCGTTAGGTGCGCACTCATCGATATCTATGATAAACGATAAAATATCTTTTGTAATCAATGCGTATCGAAATACGTGTCTCATCCACTGTTGGGGCCGTGCTTACATAAATAAAAAACGAAAGAGAAGAGAAGTGTTTCATACATTATGTCATAAAGAGCAATGGTACGTTTGCTAGCTTTGAACGCTTAATACGGCAGCCGGGCTGTATCCTTTCCAGGGAGGTGAGAGCGACACTAAATATGGTATGCAACAGGACCAAAATGTCCAGGCTTCCTTTGAATTGTGAATTAAATAAAATATAGGCCTATGTATAATTTCAACCATCGGGGTTGCTATATTAAAAAAAATATGAATAAAGAGAACATTGTTTGAGACTACCTATATCCACCAAAATGAAAGTCCGAAATTCGAAAATGGTAGCTTAAATAAAAAGACACGCTCAATATATCCAATGCATATACTGTATAAGTGTAAAAATAGAGAAAACCACAACACACGTGCTGGAAGACACTTAGTTGACACAAATGTATAAGCAAGACCTCCAATGCTTTTTTTGCAATATTATCTAACCAGTCCAACGTCTACAAAACAAATGAATGCAGATCCCAAGGCAGTGGTCAAGCTTGGCGTACTTACCTGTACACGGGCCTCCTGGTGGTCCCTGGTAGCCGTCATCACATAGACAGCCGTTTTTCATCCTTGCTGTCCCCTCAGTGTGTGAGTGTCGGGGGCACGGCAGGCAGCTGCGTAAGTCGGCTTTGTACGTGTGGCGGAGACAGGCTGAAAAAATGTTATAACGATAAGATTCTCGTTGCTATATAGAAGGAATAACAATAGGTAAATATACGTAATGTACTTTTCCAAGATTCATTGAATCTACGTTCAAGCCTTATTACTTAAATACATTTTTTCGGAGAGGTCTTATCTTAACCCATACATAACACAGTATAGGCAAAAGGAAATGTTTCATTTTCAAAATGCCAGATGTGCTACACGCGACTACTGCAGTACAAATCAGGCCTGTGCCACAAAACAAAGGGCGTGGTTGAAAATTAACATTTCCAAAATATCTTGCATAATGGCTGAGTAACATTACTTACTGTATCATTTTGAAGATAATTTTTGTCAATATCAATACCTGTCAGTTTATTCTTCAAAATATATCAATAAACGTTCCTTCATCGACACAGATAATGTCCTCCAGACCTAATATATCAGAGTCAGTACCCACCTGAGCACCCGGGCATGGCCCCGTCCCAGTCTCCGTTTTCTTGGCAGGTCCGCATGGCTGTGCCTTTATCTAGTATGTAACCGTCACTGCAGTTGAAGGCGCAACTACTGCCTAGCTTGTTGTCACACTGTGAGATGGAGCCATGGCGAGGAGCTTGCAAGACAGGGCAGCGGATTTCTACATCAAAGAAAACGTTATATGCGTGTAATTAATGACTGAATAAAAGAGTATCCATACCTATGTATGTTAAGTTTATTGAAATCTGAAATTCCAAACACCAGAGACACTTGACTCTGAATATTCATAAAAAAAGACATAGTTAGATTTAGTTCTCGATTTCTAACAAACAGTGTCCCTTTAAACCTTGAAAGAGCAAATTTTCGATAAATGTATTACACGGATTTTGAATGAATGAATTAGGTTTACGTTAAAAATCTTTACAGTCGATTTTCAGTTGCAGGGAAAACTACAGGAAAGGCAATAAAAATCAAAATAATGCCACAGACAATCTGAAATAAATACATAAGGAGGGAGCCAAATTATTTATAGGGCTACATGATATATTTCCCTTTTTAGAAAGAAGTTATATTTTACAAAAATTTCTTTTTTTTTGAATTCATTCTAACGTTACCATACATGTATGCGAAATCAATTGATTATAAACCTTTCTACCACTCCCCCAACCCCCCATATATTACTTACCCTGACAGGGTCCACCTGGCGGACCAGTATACCCTTTGTTACACACACACTGCTCAGCACTGGTACTGGCCACCGTGACGGTGTGGGTGTTCTCAGCACATGGAACACATATTGGGGAATTAGCAGCCATATAGGTGTTTAGTGGACAGGCTGAAAGAAACAAAAATTGGTCAAGAAACGGAGAAAAACTGCGCAAAGGAATAAGGAAATGAAGTAAGAAGAAAAAGTGAAAAAGGAAGAGAGGCACCTTATTTCCAAAGAAACTTTAAATTTTACTGAAGTATGAGCTCTGCGTGTGGAAGGAAATCAAATTATTGTTTAACAGTATTGATCGATGTCAAATTCATTTATTTATGTAAATAAGGTAAAAAAAACGTTTAATTTTTGTCATTTTCTTCAAAGACATGGTAGGTTACCCTCGCAGGTAGGCGCGGAACCACTCCAAACTCCATCTGCCTGGCACGTCAATTTGGAGGCGCCGCGTAGTATGTAGCCGTTGAAACAGCTGTATGTCACATTATGTGGGAAATAATACACGGTACCGTCTTTGGCTCCATTTACTGGTGAACCAGGATTACCACATATGGCAGCTGAAAAAGGTCATGTAGATTATTTTTTACTGGTATATTAAAACACCAAAACAGGTTGATAGTTTTTACCTGCATTATTCTGATTTGCAATTTTTTTTTGGATAGTAAGAAAGAAAAGAAAAGTGACTTAAAAAGACAACCAATTTAATAGTCAGCTTTTAGGTCCATCCTTTTGATAGCCACGATAAATGATATTACATGAAAACTGTTAAAAGCAACCTGCTTCTCAGATATAAAATTTATTTATATACATCTGTTTCTGGAATTTTGGTTTGGCAAAAATGTCGGTTTGGCCAAAGAGCACTGCAACCAAAGGCGATAGTATAAATTCTAATGACTTTTGTTGTTAATTGAGAAACTTCAACACCTAGGGTTGCAATTATGAAATAAATTATAATAATCATTATCAGTTTGCACTAAAGACTCGTTTTCAGCACACCTTCACATGTGGGGGATGGAGCACTCCATTCGCCGCTCTCTAGACATTCAAGAGTAGCATTCCCTACAAGGTTGTAGCCAGCGTCGCACTGAAAGCTGACCTTGGACGCAAAAGTTACTCTTCTGCCTATAACCTCACCATGTTTTGGAACACGGGGTTCATCACATTTGATTTCTGAAAAAATATGATATGCTTTTGATTAGTCTTTGAATTTTATTTACATGATGGTTTCAATTTGTATTTAGCGAAGACATAAATTATTAAAACACATACTGTGTATAAAAGAATTTCATTGACAAGTTTGCATTGTCCAATGTTTTGCATTTTCACGATCCTAAACATGCCTAGATTATGAACAAAGAACTATTACATACCTACACACGTTGGGTCATTACCAGTCCACGTTTTTGTAGCCATGCAGCGTCGACTCTTTTGTCCCTCTAGTTTATATCCTTTATTACATTTGTACGTCACAACATCACCAAACTTAAAGGAGTTCCCTTCTCTCTCTCCGTGTTGTGGGGTACCTGGTTCTCCACAACTGACAGCTATGAACATAATATGGGACAATTATACATAGATAAAACATAAAAAGAATAAGAATAAATACATGTACATCGATTAAATTTTTGGAAATAATGAGTACCTCAGTTGTGTTAAAGCATTAAACAAGGTGGTTACTTGATTTAACATTTCATTGGAAAACTAATTGATCGTAGCATCCACTAATCATAAAAAAACGTAACAAAGCAGGAGACAAAAAAGCGACCCAAAACAACGAAGGCCGTCGCATTTACGCGAGTACTACAACTTTGGCACAGTGTTTTATCTAAGAGTCAGAATATGAAGCATGCTTTATAGTACAGTGAAGAAATGCAAACGGTTAAATAAAGTTAACACAGAATAATGCATAGAATTAAATGAAAAAGTCATATTATAACTGAGGATTATACCGGAATATAGCTTACTAAAAAAAGGATCGCATTTTTTGGATTGACTTCTTAACATGTTTTCGCCTTGAGCCCATATGATATACAATTGTTTCATACCATAAACAAATAATTAGTTGAAGGGAATGTATTGAAAAGGATAAAGTTTTACCTTCGCATAGTGGATTAAATCCAGAAAATTTTCCAGTAGTTTCTTGATCCTGTTGGCAAACACGTGTTTCAGGGCCTCTTATTTCATACCCCTCATCACATCTATAGACCAGCTGCTCGCCAAAGGCGTAACCCTTCTGAGGGTTCAGAATCTGAACATGTTCGTTGGCTTGTGGCATAGTACAGACAATTCCTATAAATTAGAAAGAGATGTTTTTAGAGTCTAAATTTACAAAATGTACGTAGTCGTTTAAAGAAAATACAACAACACCTTTAAAGAAAACGAAGAAGGATTTCTACAAAATTATTTTAAACGTGCAAGCGCTTTGTGACTTTCGTTTAAAGTGAATAACATGGGGGCCGAGGGCGAAACCCAATCCTTCATGCATGATGCCCCTCTCTCTCTCTCTCTCTCTCTCTCTCTCTCTGCGTCAGAGTGGGGGCCTAAGCCCCTCCTTATGATTATGTAGTATAAAATTAGCAACTGCCACATCCTTGTGGTAGCTTGATTTATTTCAGTTGATATTTTTATCCCTCTATTTATGTATGCATATACTATTATGTAGGACATAAAAAGTAATATTCAAGAGTACAAACGTACAGTATGGAATTACATCTAAAGCATAAATTAGCACGAGGCCAAGCAATGTTACTGTCCGACATTTAAAATCGTGGATGTGAAAGGTGGAAGGCAATGTTGCCCGTTTGTCAGAACCCCAACCCCACGTCATTTGGTACACCTGGGAGGCACTAGGAATTTTTGCTATGAAACATTGCTTTATAAATACGCACGTTCACACTTTGGTGATGGGTGGCTCCATTTCCCATCACTTCCACAGATAATGGTCTCTCTGCCGGCTAGATGATACCCAGTGTCACAGGTGAAAGTGGCCAGACTGCGATACTTTGCAGGCCAAGTGCCCGCAATATGACTTCGTGGATTTTTTGTTGGGTAATCGCACACCACCTCTGAAATAAATAAGTGATTTAGTGAAATGATTAAGTGCTATCATTACTGTTACATCAGAGAGAGAGAGAAAGAGAGAGATGTGCATGAAAGCAAGCATATGTGGATTCAAATGAATGTACATATCCAATATCTTCAGAAACGCTTAAGATCAAAATTGTTAAAGAATATCTACAACGATCGTTTAATTTCAACAACAGGGAAGATTATAAAGTGCAAAAAACCTACCAGTTTCGCAGCAACTTCCCTTCCACCCAGGCTGGCACTCACACGACCCACTATTGGGTGTTCCGCCGTTCGGACAGTTTTCGTTACACCTATAATCCTGTACTTTAGAGTGTCGACATTGAAAGTTTTGAAGTTCACGACATCTTCCCACAGTTTGATATTCCCTAGTGCGTTTTGTTCTTCCGCCACCGCACCTGAATTAGGGATATGCATTTCATTTTTAATATTTGCAAGTTTACATACATATAGGTAAGGCGACATCCAGTTGTAGGGAAACACTCAAGTGCTAGATTCTATCGAAGAGGATAAAAATATCTAAGAGACTGTATTGGTTCCCTATTCACTAAATATACTCAGTATGGTACATGTGTAAAAATGTGATGTTGTTCACTCCTGACTTAAGTGTAAAACTCGTAACAGATTAAATGAAATCGAGCCAACCATAATCATGCACTAACAGTTGAACTCTCTTTCTCTCTCTTCATACTACAAATATACTACGTTCTTATTCAACGATAGTTATAAATGTTTACCTTGCCGTGCACATGCTCCACTCAGACCACTCCGTGACACAGATAGCGTCACATAACTGTTCCAATTGAAACTTCATAGACTTCTCGTACCGTTTTGCTGCTTCTTCAGCCTGTTTCCTACCCATAATCATACCTGAAGTATGAACCAATTGGAAACGTCTTATTTAGATGTACATTTATTTAGATTTCCTAGGAACCAGTCTTATTGAATAATTACTATGACCCAACGTCATCATGTTTGATAAATAAGAGACACAAGAATGCTTTGAATTCCATTAAAAACAAGTACCCAATTTTGATAAAATTTCTTTCTTTTTGGTTTATCCCCCCCCCCCCCCAAAAAAAAAAAAAAAAAAAAAAAGACAACTTCCAACTAGTGCTTATAAGCGTCAAACAGCCATTTAGAAACACACCGGCCACTCTACAAAATGGCAAAAGAGGTCCGTATTGCAAGTCTAAAAACTATTCTCTCTCTCTCTCTCCCTCTCCCTCTCTCTCCCTCTCTCTCTCAGTTTTACCTGCAATGCTAACAATGGCCTGTACACCTGCCGCGACACCCATAGCAATGGCAGCAGCTGCTCGTTCTTTTCTTACTTTGGTCACCTCGTGCTTTGGCGATTTCAATAGGACCACATCAGGGTATCCAAACCTAATAGGCAGAGTAGACACAAATAGTATGTACTTGATGGATGGTGTGTTTCAAAGGTTTAGTTTCATACCTGTAGTTTCCTGTAATCTTTGTATAAAGGGACTATGAATGTTTATGGTAATCTGAGATGGAGGATCCGTAAATAGGTGATTACAGATACATACGTTTTTAATGTAATCCCTAAGCCCATGAAGTGTTCCCATTTACACCCGTTTCGTTTGTACATGTATGCTTGTGTCTATTGTAAATCTGTTGAACTACGTGATTAATAGGCATTTCTATCCTTCTCTTATCCGAAACCCATATTTTTTTATGATGAAGCTCACCGGTTCTGAATTGAACAAATCCGCAGCCGGTTCTGAATTGAAAAAATCCGTTCTTCAAGCAGATTGGACGCAATTTTTTCTGTTCCCAAAGTCAAGAAAATGTGAAGCATTTTGACGTTTACATGACCTCAGTGGATGACTTGTGTCTCTCTCTTTTAGGGGAATATAGACTAGAAAGACCAGGGGTGCCGAGATGCAAAGCCACCGTCCCCCTTGATATCGTGTGTGTTTGTGTATGCGCACGCTCATTCCTGGGTGCTTAACCTAGCGAATAGTTACTTTTTTGCCTTTCATTTTCTATTTGCATAAAAAAACAAGCTTTGCTCAGGAGTTGTCATTGCATTAGGGTAGCAAATATTCTCACAAAGTTTCTCGTAAAATGGTAGCATGATTGTGACAGATGTGCAGACGGTAGTTCACATATTTATCAAAAGGTGTCTCTTAACTCGTATAAACAAAAAAACTTACCTCACGCTTCTGGCAACTTTAATGTCCGTGGCCTCCGCAGTCACGCAGCTGCACATCCATAGCGTGCACACAGCAATAACAATTGCCGGTATGTATCGATGCATTACGCCTTCCTCTATTCGACTGTTAGTTTTAATTAATCTTATTTTTTCTGAATTAAATAATTTGAATATCACTTGTAAATACATTTCTGTCAAGTATAGAAGTGAATACCTTATTCACCAACGTAGTTTTTTGCTCTAAGGAAACTTCACTGACATAACATTTAACGTCTCTTCAACTTGTGTTGTGATGTTGATCATTTAACAAAAAGAAGCACGTAAAATAAACACAATTGATAACATAATTAACACATGGTTATAACCCTCAACTCAGTATTTAACCTTCCTTGACGCTCCAAGTAATTTCAAAGAAACCCTACTTCAGATATATGTATGCACTTACCAGTGATATTTAGATCTTGAGGTGATCGTACGAGCTAAACCGGCGAGTAGACCTAAGTCGTCTACTAGATATCTGTGACGTTAAAATAACCGGACATGTCTACTGAATTGACTCAGAGTTTACCGCGTTTATCTCATATTCGTTCCAGGAAGCAAAACAGTCAACCAGGACATGAAGCAGTACTTAACTTTGGGAACTAAATTAATACTGGGTATCCGGTTGCGTGAAAGACCACATGTTGCTATATCTTCAAATCCTGTTTACACAGCGCAGTATGTAAACTTTATCTTTAAAAGATGAATTATTAATATTAATACGTTAATTTTTTTCTTAGAGAGATTTTTTATTGAATTTCTTCATTTTTTTCTTTTTTCGTTTTCTTTTTTAAAAGATGATTTTTTAAATATTAATGCATAATTTTTTCTGAGGAAGTTACTTAATGAAAGGCCTTCATTCATTTTTTTTCTTTTTTAAAAGATGAATTATTAATAGTAATACGTAAAAAAGCTTCTTTTTTTGATGGAATGTCTTCATTCTTTTTTTCAAATAGAAATCTTCCTTTATTAAAATCTTTTCCATTGGTTATTTTGTTACATTCTTTCTTCTATCTTCTTTCTTTGATTCTTTTTGACACTTAATTTCTTATTTTTTTTCGGGTGGTTCATTTATCAACTCATTCTTTTTTCTTTCTTTTTTTAATTTGCCTTTTAGTTTTGCTTTCTTTTTATTTATATTCATATACATTT